ATGATGCGTAATCATGGGAACAAGCGGGTTTACAAACAGGAGCAGCTGATTAGCATTAGAAAAGCTGAAATAATACCTCAACTGAAGCCAATTGTACTAAATGCACTATATGCGCACAGTCACAAGAATATTTTTTGTTCTATTGTTTTCTATTTATTTATATAATTTTAAGTTAAGCAGGACAGAGTTCTTTTAAAGAAAGATTTACTTATATTCTCAAAAGTTAAGCATGACAGGCTTCTGTTTAAGAAAGAGACCTGTTTTACTGTGTTAATGTTGTCATTTTGAGCTAAAAATAAATGGCTAAATGATCATTTGTTTCCCATATGGTCATATCACAAAGAATATGCATCTGCTTAAATCAAATTTCAAGTCAAATGGTTAAAAAATAATTTCACACACAAAAAAAAGAGCTACAAAATTCACCACACTGGGAAGGGTGAACTGGGTTGCCCGGCCCTGGCCAGGGAGTTGGCAACCCTAAAAATGGTAGAGGGCAGATATGGACTTTATTTTTATTGCACACAAGGATGCAATGAGCTGAGATGCAGTCTGTATCCAGGACAACAACAATTGCTTTATGCTGCTAACAGAACTTTGGCTCTTTGTAAGTTTACGTCTGCTAGACAGCATGCTAACACAAAGCTAGCTAAAACCCCAGAGTGATTATAAAGCTGAGTGAATACTGACATCAGCCCGGCAGCCAGACCCTGAACTTCAACATATAACCAAAGCAGTAATAAGCAGTCAGGCTTGCGGCCTCCATTTCTACCTGTTCTTAAGGTACAATCACCATGGCCTTGAAGTCTTTTTAGGCTCTTTTTCATCTTATTTTTGTGTCGTTGGCTTTGCATTTCTAAATACTAAAAGAAAGATTGTATGTCTGACCTAATTAGGATAGGGATTTGTAATGATTTGTGGATTTGTGGAACTGAGAGAAAGTAACAAATTAAGCAATGTACTGCATTACTTTAAAGAAAAGTAATGAGCAATGTGTAATACATTACTTTTTATGCGTAAAGAAACACTGCACATTATATATATTGTGCATGAAATACAACCACTAGACTGGTAGGAGAAAGCATTAAAGGAGAAACATGGTCTTTTTGGGAGAACAGATGTGCTGAGAGGAGCATTCAGGTGTGAAGATGAGGGCTAATAAACTGGCACCTGATGGGAAGCACTGAAGAACAGAGGACTGATAAAATGTAAACTGGGTTTCATATTTGTTCTACAGTTATACATGTGTTCTTTTTTTTTTTCCATTTTACACACAACTCTGAGCCCTGAAGGAAGCCAAAATGATGGAGGGCAGTGTGCAATTACCAGTCGATGTGTCTGTCTGTCTGTTTGTGTGCATGTGTGTTGTTGCTTGTGCTGTGTGTGCATCTGTGGTGACGCTCCAATAGCCTTAGTAATTACTGCCAAGGGTAGACACAAATGCACCCGGATATTTAGTCTACAGCCCTAAATGGGAGCAGAGGACGCACATACACACAAACAAAGATGCACACAAAATAGAGTGTGCAGACTGAATGTACTGAGTACAGTAGTACACTTGACTAAAAGCTGGTCACAAACTGTAGATAGACTTAGTCAGGCAATGACATTGGTAGAATCTATTTAAGGTTCACCACAGACACACCACACACATGCACACAAAGCCTCCTGGTACACCCTTGTTGTATAGATTTCCCTCCAGATCCCTTAATTCAACAGCTTCAGTTTTAATTGGACTGTGGTTTGTCCTGCCCCATTTCTCAGCATCCTACTTAACAGTGGAATAGATCAGGCATATCAGCAATACCTAGCAAAGGTCAAACACTTACACACAACCACATCAATAAAAACACAAACACACAGACATACACATCCTGAAAACCTTGTGTGTATTCAAAATTGCACACGTGCATGTGCACTCTCACATTACAAACAAATTTCTTACTTGTATGTATCCCATAATCAGTTTCCTGTTATAGGTATTATTAGCTGAGCGAGTTCATTATGCCAATTTTATCGAGTAGCATGATAGCTGAGTGTAAAACCAATATCTAATTTCCTGTGTGGCTTTATTTTACTGTACTGATCACTTGTGATGAGCAGTTTAAATGCAGCTGCAAATTAGACAACAGCACAAGGGCATAAGGCAGCAAGTGAAGAAAGGAAGCAAACACAGACAAATGCAACCTCATGCTTACAACTGCTCACATTGCGGCATTCTCTGCAAAATGTCACCTAAACCAGAATCATTAAGCTCCAAAATCCAAATACACACTGGCATAACTGTTAATGAATGAAACACTGCAAGATACTTCATGCAGTCAATTCAAGTCAGTTGGGTGTATTAGATGTGAATGGGAAAATAAAGATAAGACATTATTTTACAAGTAGAGATTCAGCTTGGTATTTATAGTCTACCTACAAACATTAAGACTGCACTAATGGCAGCATTCAAACTGGACAATTATTGAGTCTGATAGATTTTGACTTAACCTTTTGGGGGATTTTGGCAAAGTCCGCAACATTGTACAGTACAATGTGATATATCCTGGATATTTCCAGGACGGCATAAGAACTGCATTTGCACACCTTCTGACTTTGTAGCACATAAAGTTTGATCCTAATTAATAAATAGAGCTAAACTTATTTAATTAAATACTTAACTTTAAAATTGTTTTTGTAAATAATTAGCCAAACCAAGTGCACAGTTTGGTCCTACACAGTGCAGTGACTATTTGCTGGATGAGCAGGATCTCTAACAGATGTTGCACGGTTACAATTAACAACCATATAGCTGAAGAACTAAGAACACGTCTGTTTCTTCTTTGCCTGGTAACCAGTCATCCGTATAATAGGCAGCTGGTCTTGGCTGACATTATGTCACCATCTTAAGTTGCTTCAATACCAAGACTACCTATCAATGTTATGCTGTTGAATCATTTGGCGTTTTTTTCTTTCTTTCTCTTAACTATTAGGTTTGCAAGCCAACCCTATGGACAGACAGAAGGAGATCAAGCATGCATTACAAATGCACATCTTCAAGTGATCTGACTGGGACTTCTAAGGAGCTTTGGGAGCAGTTTATGGCTGCTTGGACACAACCTCAAAAGCACTATCAGTCAAATTCAAATGTCATATAGTTATTCATATTTATCATGGCAGTGGCAGAAAATCTTGAACTTTTCAACTTTCTCATATTTCCTTATTGTTTGTGTTATTATGTTTATTGGCTTCATCTCGACTTACTTCATAGTCCAAATCGAGGTGGTCAAACTCTCCATTAGTCCTGAAGTGCTGAGTGTGTCTGTCCAAGGTGAAGTTCACATTGCGACGGTAGCGTTCAATCACTACTGAGTGCCAGTGATTGTCATCCAAGAGGCTCCCTGTGGTCACAGAGGTATGACCCAGGATCGAGCCATACTGATTACTGCCTGTAATAAACACAGCATAAGCCTTAAAATGCAGACATGAGAACGGCGTCTGAATTTGTAAATACAAAAAATGGTGTGACCAGGTGCTGTAAAAATAAAACAAATATGTCACACACAAGCAAACACAACATTTTTTTTTACTGATTTCATTTAATTTTAAAGTCTAACTTTAAAGGACGTCTGCAGTAAGACATCCTTGGTGTGTCAGACACACTTCTGGTTAACAGTGAATAATGATTCACAGACATATGGATGGTATGGGCTTTTGTTTCCTTCATGAAGAGGGGGAAATTGTGTATTAGAATCTTAACTTTTCCCTTGACTAATATAATTTCAACAAACCTCCATCAGTATATCCATTGATCCCAGCTAGACACACATTGATGGAGGTTTCAAAACATCCTCACATGTTTAAACATCACTGTAAAGCAAGACATGTCTGAGGCTGATACCGTAAAGACCTAAATCCTAAACACTGTTGGAGAAGGATCACCATCAAGAGAAAGTTGCTTTTTCTAACTCTGTGGCATTTATTTGTTACCCACCCAGGTTTATCTGCAGCAGCAGCTTGGCTTTACGGAGTTCCAGTGTGATATAGTCTCCCTGCTGGCCTTCCCCATGGAGAATCACACCCTCACTTTCTGACGTCTTAAACCTCAGTGCGATCACGTCCTTAATGATCTTCATCTTCTTCACCTGTGTTAGCAAACACCAATGACTTTGTGTGATTGTTTGCAACACTGGTAACTAATTTCTGATTAGATTAAAATGAAACATTATGTAAAAAACAACAACAACTTTTCACTTTAGAAACTTTTATACTTGGTAACAAAACAAGACAATTTTCACTACCCAGTGTTCAAAATCTACATCCATTTATTTATATATAGTTCTCATAAAAAATGCCAGTTTATCGTGATACATTTGAATTTTTTCATTCTAAGTTTTTATTTTATGATCTAGCCTATATAATATGCAGGTATATGCTGTGTACCAACTAACAAGACTCCAGACTCCAAGACTTCTATTTAAGGGCAATAGTTTTAAACACGTATAGGATCCCAAGTCTTGATAAAACACAATGACGAACAAAATACTGAAACTCTCTGTTAAATATGTTTTCCAATGTTTATTAAAGGACTGCCATACGTTTGTGTGACTAGCAAAGGAATGATCAATATAACCAATACCCTCTAGTAGAATTCATTACAGGATCTAGTCTCCATGTTCTACAATGACCGAGTCAATATTGCTTTTTATATTCCAGTTTATTCAAAATTGAATATCCAATTCCAATCCAATAATTTTGAATATCCAATTTTAAATATTCGACTACTGAAGTTGAAATTTGGGTACCTTAAAACGATATGAGATCACACCCTGCCCATCAAAATTGATGATGTCTGCCCCTAATGGAGGAAGATGGAATTAAAAGACAGGAAGAGAGAGAGAGAGAGAAAGAGAGAGAGAGAGAGAGAGAGAGATTATTATTTAAACAAACACAAAACACAAACATTCAGATACATTCAATTCAAACCTGACAGTAATATTTAAAAGAACAGGTGCGCTAATAATAGATGAACGTGTAAAAGGGCAAATTAAATTAGATATTATATTGCCAGCTCAATTTCTGGCCACAAATTGCCTTTTTCAAAGGAAAATTTTTATATGTCACAGTAGGAAGAACACGTTGGCTAATTGACACACATTTTTTGTTTACTGGCACACTTGCTATTAATCATGTTTCCTTTTTAATGCTATACGTTAAGATTAAAAATAATTGCAATAATTAAAAAAATTATATGCCTTTTTTACACATTTAAAAACTGCCACACAGATACCCCTGCATGCAGACTGAGCTGGGAGCTCCAATTTATCCCAGATTCAGTGTAAGCTGAGGTTAATCGAGGAGAACTCAAGCCATGAGTGTCATGTTAAACAAAGTTAAAGTACAAAGAAATGCTATGTGTATATACTATACGTATACGTGAAGGAGCTCAAAAAAGAGACAAGCAGTGGCATGAGGATGATTTTCAGACCTTGAGCTCAGTAATAAAGAGCAGTGCTTGAGGCATCTCTTCAGTCTAACTATCATCATGACAAGTGTTCGAGTGTTTAGTGGAGAACACATATGTGGCAAGATTGGTTGGAGAATTTAGAGAAGAGAGCACAGGAAATGATGGGATAACATAGCTAGGGAAAGAGATACAGGGATAATGATGCACAGTCACACTGCCCCTCAATCTTATGATTTCTTGGGTTTTCACTTATATAAAACACAGAAATACACAAATATACTGAGGATGCCTTTCCTGATAAATAGTTGAGGGGAGGTAGAGGGAACTTACATCTGTTCCCTTTGTTCCAACTTCTCAAATGCTGTCTCGCTTTCAGTATTTTTTGCTGCTTCACCCTCACCCCACTCTTTCCAATTTCATCTTTCTCCATTACTCTCCACTCTGCTCTACTTGTTATTTATTTTGGTTCTGTCTTTAGTTTCCAATCTTTCTTCAGTCATTTCACTTTGATTTTTGTTCTGTCACATTTATGGTACAGGCATTGGTGGTATCTCAGCGTCCAACAGTTTTATATGTCGCCATATATGGATATGGATCAACGTGGATAAAATAATCAAATAAATAAAAATTAAACGCATGCATGCGCACACACACAAAAAATGCAAATACAAATGGTTTATGGTTGCTTATAATTATGCTAATGCCAAAAAAAGTCTCTGACATTTTAAACTACAAAATGAAGTTTGACATTGAAATGTTAAACTATAACTACATAATGCATTTTTCAACTGCTTAAATACTAGCTTCAGTTCTCTAAAACTAATTGTCAGTGGCCTGAACGCATATATTTAATTAACTTGTAAATATCCTGCTACAGTAATGTTTGGTTTTTGATTTTAATGGTCAGGTTGTTGTTAGTCAACATGACATAATCACAATCGTCATAATATAGCATGCTTAATTAAAGTTTTGTGGATATAAATGCGATGTTACTGTCATGAAATTAAAATTATACAGGTGAGTAAACAGTGTAAATTAGTCATTTTAGCTGCTGGTAGGTGGTTGCTTTACAACATTTTGATGAAATAATAGATGTGCATAATTCATGTTCTCTGTGCTACAAAATCTTGCAAAACTAAAATGATACAATGCTTTTCTAAGGTTTTACAGGTGCAAAGGTGCATCCTTGCCCATTGTTAAATGGTTGCCAGGGAACATGATCACATTATAATATACCATGCATGAGTTTTGCCGATATAAATTAACCATTAATGTTGTGAAATTCAAATTATATGATGCGTATTATGAGTGCATAGATGTTAAATATGGGTTATTATCACTCATTGGTAGGTGGCTGCTAGGCAAAATGATGATGTCATAACATATGGTTCTATAGATAAGAACCTTAAAGGGATCTAAGATGTACCTGTGTGCCAAGTCTGGTTGCTCAACTCCTGACTGTGTAGGTGGAGTTTGTGGGCGGAGAGAGATTTTAATTTAATCCTACGTAAAGTACTATTTTTTTTTATCCTATTTATTGTTTTTGCAAAACATTTAACCCATTCTAACAGATTAAAATATAGTTTTAAATGTGAAGCTATTGTGATGAATCAGAGTAACTATAAATCAAACTAGGGACCACAAGCCTCACCTTGATAGTATAAAATGTTTCTTGGTCTAATGTATCCATTCGAGTTAGTAGAAACTTGTTTCAGGTGTTGCTGGGAGGAGCCAGAGACAATGGTTTCTAGTGGCACTCTGGACTATGTGAAATTTTCTCTCCTGGTAAACACAAACTGACTTCCCTTTCATAACACTGAAAACTAATTCACATTTTAAAGCACATATCTGTGTTGGTTTGAAAACAATACTTGAGATGTAACTTTCTCCTTTGGTCAAATAAAGATAATTGTTTCAGACTGTTTATCTGTCATGAAAGCAAGTTTTATTTGCAACACCATACATGCGGTTCCCATGCTTACTCTAATGTAATATTGAGCCCGAGAGCCAGAATGATGCTGTTTAAGCTGATGCTTACTCTAGAATTAGATACTATTCAGAAGAAAATCTCCATAAGTACATTTCTTAGCCTTGACAGATTATGATGGCGATACATCATACTGACAACAGATTTGGTCTTTGGCATAAAAAAAAAAGCCACGGGTTGAAGTCAGCTGTGAAAGAGATTGCATTTGTATGGAAAATTAAATTTGTACTCTCTGTTTCTGTCTGATTCCCCTTTCTCTCACATATTGCTTCTACTATTTACCGACTCATCTATGAAGTAATTGATTTGCTGTTGATCCTATGTTAATCAAAATGGAAATGAGCATGTAAATTCCACAGCACGGTGAATCATGACTCCTTTGCAGCTTGCACCTCTGGCACAACCACATCCACACACATGCATACAGATACTGCCTTTTATTGCATAGTCCTAGATGAGTCATAATATGGCATTGCATTTAATTATCATACATTTTCAGAACCCAGAATTATCATCTACAACCAACATATTTGGTGATTATGCTGGAAACATAACATCTATATTTATCTGCCTCTTTTTCCTCCCACTACTTCTCTTTTGTGCTTTCTGTTTTCATCCTCTTTCCTCTGCCATTGCCCAACACTGTACTTCTCCTGTCTTTCATCTTCCGGCTGGGAAGCGGGAAAAACATTTACAAGAAGCTGATTCTAGGGGAACTGCAGAGTCAGGGAGTGAAGGATGGCTAGATGAACAGACAAATGTATGAGTTCTCATTTTCTGACTGAATGCTGAAGAAAGAAGCAGTGACAGCATAATCATGAGGAACCACTGCAGGCTTCAAAACAAAGATGACAGACAACTCTGAAAGATGATGCACCTGACCAGAGGGAGTGTGTGTGTATGTGTAGTTGTAGTTGTGTTTCTCTCTTTCTGTGTTTCTGCTGATACTTGAGTTTTAAGCATGTGTCTTCCTTATTTTGCATTTATTATACATCTCAAAACAGATGTCACTGAGTGGTGGACAACATTCATATCTGTCAGAAACACAAACTCTCTGAGCTTAGTTGGGCCTTGAGACAAGCAAGTAGGTTTCTTTTTTTTTTGTTTCGTTTTTTATTTTTTGTTTTCCTTCCTCGTCTTCTTTTTTATTTTAGTGCTATTTAGTGAAAACCTCAATCAGATTAGAAATAAAAATAAGACTGTAAAGTCTATATGTGACCAAGAAAAACTGGTGGTTTGGAAGTGACCCCATTGATTTTTTCCCCTGTGTGGGATCAATTGCAAGTAGTTGCTGTGAACAACTGGTCCTCAGAGGTTTACCATTCAGCACCCGTCTTTGGGTGACCGCTTTTGGTCTGAAGGCATCTGGTGGGAGGCAAGCTTCCTTGGCCCAACTCAGCTGGATTGAGTGCCTTAACTCTCAAACAGATTGGCAAAGGTTTGAAATTAATTTCCATCTTATTTACAAATGCATAGAGATTGTGTTGATGTGCGCAAATTCTCTGCTTCACCAAACAATGATGCAAACACACAAACCTGAGTCAATCAGGTTCAGCCGGCAATTTACTGCAAATTGCACCAAATTTAACACAGAAAAACGTGTCTTAATTTATGCCAACTACGTGCGTAGTAGTTGGCGCTATAAGTTTTTATTTATTTGACATGAGAGAAGGAAATGTTATAAGAACTCTCCTCACGTCCAACTTCTAATAGAAGAGTTCACCCTTATTCCATAAATATATAAACATATTTTTAAGCCTCCCCTCGTGTATTTGAGCTGCCATGCTGTTTTCAGAGAGAAAAATGTGCACTACCTTTTAAAAAAGCTAATAGGCTATGTATTATTTTGTTACTTGCTTCCAGCCTTAAAAGTATGCTGCTCAAGGTTGAAAGTTGGTTGCTAATGAAATGAAGTAACTATGTTTTTGTTCATTTATACATTTATAAATTGTAAATTTTCCCTGTCTGGTTTGGGCTGCACTTCAATGCTGTTCAGTCAAAAATGACTCCAGACTGTCTCGTTGGTGCTTTATTCCTGTTTTTATTTTATTGCTTTCTCAATTAAGCAAAGCTGAAAGACAGCAACTAACTGCAAGGGATGTCACACCTGGTCTCTGCCTTTAACTTCAAAATTTCAAGGGTAGAGAGATTGGAGGCACTCATTGTCATGTTTAAGATGTTTGAGATGATTTGAGTTTTGAGATATGCTTTGGAAGCAACCATCAGAAGATGGGTGCACTGTAGTCATAAAGGATGGACATGGTCAGCAGTGATACTCAAGTATGATACTCAGTTGGCACCGAGAGCCCTAAAGTGTGCCACCAACAGCAGCCTGAGCCTTGAAAGAAAGCAGGATGGATCCATGTTTTCATGTTATTTATATTAAATTCTGACCCTGCTATCTGAATGGTCCACCTGTTGGTTTCCTGTTGTCCAGTTTTGATAAGTCTGTGCAAATGGTAATATCAGTTTCCTATTCTTAGCTCCTATTCGTAGCTCTTTGTGTAGGCCTCTGATGCTGTAGCCGTCTGCTTCATGGTTCAACATGTTGGGGGTGCTATTCTGCATACCTCGTCTGTAATGACTGGTTATTTGAGATACTGCTGCCTTCCTATCAGCTCAAAGCAGTCTGACCATTCGCCTCTGCCCCTCACACAGAGAACTGCCAATGCCAATGTGAAACAGTGAGTTTGGATCAAGCCCAATTTAACTTTTTCTGCTGTCTAAAGTAAAGTGGTAACCTCTTTCTCAAAGTGCTTGCGGGTATAGGCTGCATAAGGTATGTTTCACATCCTGCTCAAATACTCCAGAACCACTGGTGCTTGACAGCATGCCCAATGTTATGTAAGTTATTGATTGTTCCTACATTTCTTTTGCTAAATTTGAGAAATATATCTTGCTGAGTGTTACTGGAATACTATGACTTTTTCCAAATTTGGAAAACTGCATCCAGATATTGTTCCAATTCTATTATGTTTTAAAGCTAGCTCTTTCACCAGATCTGTTCAAAATACATTATCTCTTATTGTCTTAGGTAAAAACAAAGCCCCAGCAATTCCATGTTAGGATCACTGACACCATTGATGTGTGAGAAAAGTCAAATGACAATACCAACAAAATGAGCTAAGTGTGATTATAAATGTGTGGGGAGAAGTAATGTGTATAAGCTTGAAATGAACTGAATGGCTGTGTTGCTCATGCTAGGAGTGCCTATGCACGCATGTGTGCATCTGTATGTGTTAAGTGTATGTGCAGCACATCTCGTGGTCCTTATCATTACTGTCATGCTTTTCTTTTGACATGGGAAGGAAATGAAACAAGGAAAATATAATCAATGAACCGAGGACTGACTGGAATACAACGCATGCCCTTGCATTCACGCACACAAACGCACACGCGCACACCCCCTCCCTCACAAACATATCCACGCATAGTGCAATCACATCTCCCGAATGAAAGATGTATGTGTGTCACTTATAACCGTAATTTATGCAGAGCCTTAATTGAAAATTGTTATCAGAATCAATTTGGCAGCCTTTAATAGGATGAGGGCAAAGAGGCTGCAAGAGAGCCAGTTCCCTGGATGATGCATTTGTTAGAAAGCGAGAGACAGTGTATGAGTGTTTGTGTATCTGTACATGTTTGCGAGTTTGCAGCCGTGCTCTGCATATTGCTGCAAATTGATTTTATTTGTGCATGTATGTATCGTGGCAGCCTTTCATGCTGGGATTGTGTTTAATTCACATGCAGAAATAGCTCCATTGTGCCTTGATTGGAGCTGACAAACCATCATTAGGTTCTCCACATGGATCCACAATTTGAAATGCTAAGTGCTAGGCTGCACATGTTTAAAGCCTGTGAGGCTACTAGGAGTATATTTACTTAGGAGTGGAATCTATCTGGTTTCTTTAAACGGCTGTTGTATCTGAGTGTTGTGATTCCAGACCAACCAAGTGACTGTAAAGCAATTAATATGCAAATGAATGCCTCCACCTTTGATTATTGTTCTGTCTAATAATGTGTGAAGATTCAAGGTGTTACAGGTGTTAGATTAGCCGTGTGTGTAAGAGAAATATAAAAGAGACATTGCAGGTGTTCTCCAAACCTGTTTGTGTGTGTCTTTGTGTGTGCGTGTGTGTGTGTGTGTTTATCTCCACTCACAGTAGGAGCATCCGTAAACTTCTATTCGCAGACCAATCCGTCCCTCCTCGCTCCATTCTAACGGGATGAGCCTAAGGAAGCGAGCCACGATTCCCTGCTGGAGCTCATGGCGAACTGCACTCTCTGAGTTGGAGTTCCCAGAGAAAGCCTATGAACATAATCATTCATATACACACAGACATAGAGAGAAACACACACACACACACACAACACACACAAATTAAATACATCAAAGCCACAAGCCTGAAGACAAACAAGCAGCTTCAGGACTTCAGAACAAGAGTATTTGTTCCACTCACCACATCCTACCCTGAAGGTGCTCACTCACAAAACATACAAAATAATTATGAGTCTACATATCTAATATGCCCACCATAGGACAGTCTAACCGTAGGGAATGTTAGGAGTAAATTGCATATTGTATTAAGCTGCGTATGCATTAAGAAACTCCCTGCTCACATCAATTCATATCTAGACTGATTTATGTGTCCCAACAAGTAATAGAGGCTTGTAACTGATGAGGTTTACAGTTCTTTGCTATATTAGCCCTTTGTTCCACACAGCTGGTATACTGTCTAAAAACTCATCTTATTAAAAAAAAAAGGCATCTTGAAAAGCAAATAATGCCTAATTAACACTTCTAGGATTGCAGTGATGCCTAATTAAAATGTCGTATTTATCTGCAATTTTAAGTGTATCTGCACAGCCCCAGTGTGGCTGCAGTTCCATGACTGAACATGTGCTGGTTGTTTTGTACACATCATGGCTTGACAGCATGAGCTGCTCTCCAATGTTTTGCTGTAAGCATAATTATTTGATGTCAAATTTCAATGACAGGCTACTGAAGTACATTTCCTGACAGTGCATTCCCCCTTTGCTGTTTTGACTTAAATGTGACTGACTGGAGTCTTTACCACCCACTAAAAAAAATAAATTGTATTTACATGGAAAAGAGAAATGAGACAAGGATGGCATTCACTTCACCAAATACTATAGAATCCCACTGGATGAGTAAAAGAGGCACTCGTTAAAATGATCTCCTCTTCTCACTACATCATTCTTGTTTTCTTTCCTCCTACTTAGTTTCTCTTCCTTCACTTGACCTGATACATGACGGGGAGAACCTCTAACCGCCCACTAATCCACCTCACCACAGTCCCTGAACTATTTTCACTTCTGTGCATTCTCCTCTGCTCTCTGAAATAAACACACAACACAACCCCGTTCCCCCATGCATTACTTTCGACACACACATGCACAGAACAGTTTGCACACACCACTGGGGAGAAGCCTCATTAATAGCCTAGCAGGTAACTAGAAGAGAGCAAGACACTAGACAGCCATGTGTTATTTCAGATAAGACATGGAGTGGGCAGGGCAGAGCATGAGTGTATGGGAAAAAAATAACTTGCACAGACAGCCTGCTTTCAGCTGACTCTTCAGTGACCCAAGAGTGTACCCCTGAAGATATGCTATCTGCAAAAGGAGGAAATGGTCAAGAGTTCACACTTAGCTCAGAGCTACTGAACTTCCACTGTTGTGAAGGAGTGGACAGTGCTTCTTTTATCAATGAATTCCTCTCAGTTTCATATTTAATCTTTATTTATTCCATAAAGGTTTATGGAATAAATAAAGTATGCCTTTTGAAAGAGAAGGTTGCAGCATGGTATTGTATGTATGTCACCAATAAATAAGTAAGTAAATAAATAAATAAAAACAGCAAGCACATTAATAGTTATGCTCCTGACCATGACATAGCCAGAGTTATGGCTTTTACACCTAAAGACATAAAATCTCACAAATCCACAAATTGTCGTGGTTCTGCAGGAAGTTTGGACACATCCATCAGTGGCTAGGCAACAGATCAAGCAGCCACTCTGATCATGTGAAAGACAATACTGTTTAACTTGTGCAACGACTGGTAACTGATGATTCAGCAATGCAAACCTTAAAGTTACATTAAATTTGCTTTTTAAAGTAAGTTGACTGGAAACAGCATTTTTTCTCTTCTTTTAAATCATAGCAATTAAGTGGAAGTTGCCAGGTGTAATCGCTGCTTATATCGGTACTTTTTAAAGTAGCTTCCACACTATAGAAAAAAAAGGACTGGAGTACCTACAGATTACATGGACAGTAGCTGCTAGGTCATGAAAACCCATGACACGAAGCTCCTGTCACATAGTTTTTGTGCTGATGTTAATACCAGAGGAGGTTTTTGAGTCAGCACAGCACTGGTAACTTTGAGCACTCGGGGAGCCTGTTATGACTTCAAACAATGTGCGCTGAGCTCATTTCATAGTTGCATACCGCATCATCAAAACACTGGAAGTCTGAAATGTCTCCATAACTGAGATATTCCTTTATTCACCTGGGCTAGCGTTACTCTTTGGAGCTGTTTGTGCAATTCTACAATAGCTTCTTCCCCTCTAACCCTTATCTTTTTCTTTTGCTGTTAAATCTTCTCAAGCTTTCTTCTCCTGTGCTCTCTATTGCATGTTTGTCCTTCAGTATTCTGTTTCCAAACTGCCTGTAGTGTTGGCTTCTGATATGAAGCACAATGACAGTTATATCTACAATCTTCATAAATACACACAAGCATCCATGCACACATATAGATACAGACTGCCAATGCACCACCTTGCCATTTAAGCAATTATGAAATGTTAAAACCTGATGTCACTGTTAAGATCGCCTCATCGTTGGGTATAAAATAACGAAAGAGGAAAAAAAATCTTCTGACAATTTTTCTGGCTGCATGCAGATGACTTCAATTCCTTTTTGTCCAGCTGTCACCTTACTCTCCTTGCCCTTGTCAAGTTATACCAGAGAAAGAAAAAGAAAAAAGAAAAAGAGAGAGAACAAAACCATTTTTTTTCTTCACCCAAAAGCTCAATCCCCCCATCCTCTTTTTTCCCCCCCTCTATTTCCCTATTGTGTTCATCCCGCTTTCTACACTTATCTGTGCTTGGCTGAATGAACAGCTCAATTCAAAGGCATTACTATGCAGAGTGGGGGGCAGAAGGCAGGATAGGGAAGAGAAGAGGAGGATGAAGATGAGGAAAAAGCTGTGGATGCTGAACACCTTGCAAAAGTCTGCCTAGTGAACCATTTAATTCCCTCTACTCCAAAGTCAAATCATTAAGCGGCAAACCAATGAGTAATTGGAAATATATGTGTGTGACTGCCTGTGTGACAGTTTATGTTGAGGTGTGTGCACGTGTGCGTGTTTTATAAGCAACTTTAGAGCTTAGACACTTTGACGTTTTGTTTAATCAAGAACTGAGGTAATTTACGGCAACAAAGGCCACAAAGTGCCTGAAGCAAATTTCAGAGTTTACTCACTAGCTGCTATGTGCATGCGTGCAGAGTTGCACATACTTCTGCATGATTCTGCCTACTATGTATGTCAGTGATATGTACAGTTAATGTTAGATTAGTTGGTTTACTTGATACTTGAGAAAAATATTTACTGCTATTTTATGTAGTTCTGTGAGGATGTGCATCATATTTTGGAATGTTTAGAACAGTGTAAGTTAGTAAAGGACACACGCATGATTTCAGCAGTCCACGAGATCAGTGGGAGAAAAGCAATGAAAGAAATCTTGACTTGGAAAAGAAAATAATGAGGGAAGCTGAGAACCAGCCAGTCTCTGTGCTGACCATTTGGAGCACAGGGGCTGTCATTCAAGAAAGAACAAGCCAATCACTTTCCTACAGCTGGTCAAAAAAATACCCCTGTGGTCTGCTCTGTCTGACATACACAAACACACTTCGCTTGTATACGAGATAGACATCCACGTCGGCATGCTCGCTCTCATAAACAGACCCTGGCAAAATTCTCCACACGCCCATTATCTAACTGCTCAAAAGCTCTCCCTCATTGCTACTCCTCACCCGCTTACTTATTTTCCCTGGCTGCATGTTTTCATTTCCTGAATGAGCATCTGTCCTTTCTGTCTCTTCTCTCTCTTTTTTGTTTCACTGAAAATCAGTCTGTATATGTGCGAGCATATTTCTGTTTGTGCTGCGTGTCTGCGTTTTGACAGCCAGAGAGAGGCCCTTCCAGAGAACAGATCTCTAGATACTGAGAAACAACAAGTGAAAGCTATTTTCTGGCATTTGCTTGTTGCTGCTGGACTCTTTGTTAGACCAGCCCAGAGTCAGGGCTATTGTGTGTGTGTGTGGATCTATGTGTATGTTCCTTCCAAACAGGCAGGGGAAATCAGTCCGGCCTGGTCTGGTCTTTTGTTTTTATTGACAAGTGTACGAGACAAAACAGAAGGACCATAGAGAAATTTGTGTTTCTGTGAAGCCCTGTGGGTGGCTGTGTCTGTGCCAGGAAAATAGGACAAATTCTAGTAATGCTTAATTGAAGTCATGAATCTTTAAAATGTTTTAAAGTGGGCTGGGTGTTACATACTACAGCATGTGCCTAACATCTTGAGAGTATACCGTGCTACACACAAAGCCTCAATAGGAAATCTCTTCTTACTGTTTCGTGACACTTGCTGACAGAATTAAAATTCTGGGCTACACAGTCAATCAAGTATCCCACTAGGGGTGAGGACCACAACCAACTTCTGCTGCAGGCAGAAGCTAAATGGATTTTTGATCTGAGTCTGCAGCTCCAGATGGGCTCAATGAGCTGAATGAGGAACTTGATCTGTGCTATTTCCTGTAATGGTTTTGTATTTTTTGTATTGTTTTTTGTTGTTGTATTTCAATCATATTTTTGTTCATGTTTTGTTTTCTTAGTTCTTTCTCTTCAGTGGTGATTTATGCTTAGAAATGTAATAATATTTTTCTTAGTTGTACATCCTTGTATATGTTTGTGCTTCAGTTTTGTTTATATAGACTTTCTGCCATGTCTGTTTTTGGCAACACATTTCTTGCTTTACAAGTTTGAACAGTGAATTGAACTGCAAATCTGAAAGTTTGATTAAAACGAATGTATGTCCTTCCATTGTTATGTGCACTTCTGTTGATTTCTGTACATCAAAGGCACGATAAGCTGCTTCAGAGACTCTTTATAGTCTTTTATTGGAACAGTTCAGAATGATCTCATTTTGTATCCGTATGTGCCAGATAGTTAGTTCAGTCGCCAATTAAATGGCTTTACCTGCTAAAATGGGCACCCAAAGAATTGGT